CAGCAGGAGAATTCTCGGGAGCACAAGAACCTAAACTGATTTGCTTCACAACCTCAATCTGAGTAGCCTCAGGATCCTCTCTGGCACTTAACTCCAGAGCCAACTGTATCTGATACTCTTCTTCAACCTCGGGATCTTCAGAGTCATGCCTCACAGATTCCGACCCAGAACTTAAACCCCTCGTTCCGACAGGGTCACCACTGTGTTGTTCCATCTTAGCTCCTTTGTTCTTGGCATTGGAAGAAGCTGGTGGACTAGGGCTTTTCCCTTGAGCAACGGAGCTTAACCAATTCGATAAACCCGAAAAGGATTTGTGTTCGAGATTATTGCTATGGTGGGACCTTGATGTATCCGGTGGTGGTGATGATACATCACTCGATTTGTTGCTTCTAGATGAGGTTGACCCCTCAGCTTCTTCCGATTGATTGGGCGTGATATGCAGTTTCTTGAGAAAGTTCTTCATGCTTATCTTCAAAGAACAAGCGGTTAATCCGAATGTCAAAGCCGCGAAAATCCCGGCTTAGACTTCTCCATCGCTCGAATTCAAAGGAACAATCTTTTCCGTTGTTTCCCTAAACCCTAATTCCTAGTCAACACGACTCCGTATATTCGGGAATTGAATCCAGATCAACAACTCGTCAAACCTAACAGCTGTTGCAGCAGCAGATTTCAAGCAACGCCCAGAAAATTTTCCCGGAAGCCAAACAGCACGATCGAACAGAGCATCAGAGAAAGCAGAATTCAAGCAATACCCAGAAGATTTTCTCGGATTCAAGACTGACCCATCAGACTCCAGGAGCCGTAAAAGCGAATTCTCAAGCTTTAGGAAGTAGATTTTCCCGGAAAACACCGAGAATTTCACATCCACTTTTTCGATAAAGCGCCAAACAGTTTAAGATCACACCCACACGAGAAATCGAAACAAAAGGAACCAACGTACAACAAAAAGAAATTCTCAGAAGTAGAACCACAGATTCTTCTTAAACAACTAGCAAACCCCAACTCTTTCTCTCTCCTCTTGATAAAGTCCCGAAAACCAAACGTCACTCTCTCTCTCTCCCTAAAAGTCCGACAAAAATCAAGTGGAGAGAGTGGGCTTTCAGGAAGAACATCGAAGTTACTGACATGCAAAAAAAAAGGGGAAAAATTTCTTTAATGGTGAAGCTGAATGCATTAACTTTGAGACGAAGGAAGGAAAAGCCGAATTTCTCAATCCGCTTACTTTAATCGAAATGATAAATTGTATGAACTCAGATTTTGATCCATTAACGGATTCTTCATAAAACCTTCGTTTTTTTTTTCTGTAAAAAGAAACATGTTATGAGAAGTCACACTCCATGTTTTTCCTTCTTTGGATTCGTTAGTTTCCCTCTGAAATGTGGGATTCTGTTTTATCTTTTAAGGCGGTACATTAAAGTGTATAGATTCGTGTCGAAAAAATTATAAAAAATAGTAAATAAAGAAAATAAATTGGAACAATGAATGAAAATATAAAATTTTTAAATGGCGTTCTATTTCAAAAAGTAAAACAAAAAACATAAAATATTTTATTTTATTATAAAAAATGTTTTAAATGAGTCCCGAAAAATGCTATTATTATTAACATTAAAAAATAAAAAATAGATTATTTTCCATATATTAAAATGAGTGTCTTTAAAATTAATTACTTCTTAAAATTAATTTATAAAGTGATTAAATTAATTATACTTAATACTTTTTATAAAATGATAGGACCCTAAGATTTTAATTGCTCGTGCAAAAGCGCCTCTGGTCAACACGTGTTGGATATACATATACAGTAGGCATGATGACGATGATGATGATAACCGTAAACCTGTTCATACGTTCTTCATGTTGGTCGCGATGTGTCTGTTTTATCAGAAACTTTGAGGTATGATCTTATCGCAAGAAACCCTAATGGAATCATGAACCAAAGTAAATATCTTCGGGGTAAAGGCTGCATTTTTAGTTGATTTGTTCCAGAAAAAAAAAGGTATACTTTCTGGTTTCTCCCCTCTCTTATTTCCTGTTTTGTGTTTGATGATGTTTTAGAGTAAAGGCTGGTGCATTTTAATTTTGACTTTATATATTTTCTATATATTTTTGTAGAATATGTTGTGGGATGCGTTTTATATTTGATTATGAGGAGAAGAACATGGGTCTCAACTCCATGGGGAAAAAAATTAATAAAAAATAATAATTATCGAGAGAGACGCGGCGAGGAATGTGGTGGTTTCCAGACAAGTGTTGGGCTGAGAGGAAAATCGGAACGAAACCCTTTAATTGTTGACCTCTGATTCATGAGTGGTGGTGGAAATCTCGCCGACGGTGTTCGTCGATGGCTTTTTCCGGGTCGTCCTCCTTCTTCTTCTTCCGATCATCACAATCATAATCCTTCTTCTTTAACCAATCCCGATGAGGTGGTCGAACATGGCGATTTGAGGGAGATTACCGTTACCGAAGATCTTAATCTGTCTGGGCTACAGCTCATCAGGGTTCCAAAACGACATAACTTACCCATGGATGCTAACAAGAAGGTACGGTTTTTGTGATCTGGGTCGGTGTTTCGTGATCGATTGTTTTCCCTTTGAGTGTAGATGTGATTTGACTTTATGTAATTTGATACGATGGTCTAAGATCTTACCTCCTGACCTTGTTTATCGTGTTTCTCGGGAATTGAATTATTATGAAATGGGTTTGTTTTTATTTTGAGAATCTACGGGTTGAGCCAAAATCGAATCCTCTTGATGGTTGGGTTGTGCAAGAACATAGAAAGTTTAGAACTTTGTTGAATTTAACTTGTCATCATCTGGGCAAAGCAGGAAACGTGTTGGATGCTGTTTTGTTTTGTTGCCTTACCTTTCAAAGGATCAACAAATAGAGGAGTTTTGTGTTGCATTTCTTAAAACAAGCATGATAGGTTCTTGATCAATCTATAAAGATACATCAGTTTAGATATTCTGATGATGTTTGGGTGGGGAAATGATTCACCTAATTCTGTCTGGCATTGTTTTCGGGAGTCAGATATGAATCAATCCGATTCATTTTCTCGTTCAGTTCTGTTTGGTTGGTGAGAAAATGGATGTATGTGAAAGCGATCTGAGGGATTTCCCGCTCTACTCCATGTTGGTCTTACAATTGATTTGAGCTTTTGGTCTTTCTTGATCATTCGTCTACAATGTGCATGATCAAGAATCCATGGTTTCACACATCGTATGGAACAAAATCTTTCCTATGTATTCTGTCATCTAATATTTCTTTTCAGACTAGAATTAAAAAAATTAAATCTTTTCTTAGGGTACACATACAACCGAGTTCTTCACGGAGTATGGAGAAGCAAGCAGGTACCAGATTCAAGAAGTCGTCGGAAAAGGAAGCTATGGTGTTGTAGGTTCTGCTATAGACACTCACACTGGAGAAAGGGTCGCGATTAAAAAAATAAACGATGTGTTTGAACATATCTCTGATGCAACCAGGATTTTGCGAGAGATAAAGTTACTAAGGTTGCTTCGTCATCCAGATATCGTGGAGATAAAGCACATTATGCTTCCTCCTTCTCGACGGGAATTTCAAGATATTTATGTTGTGTTCGAGTTGATGGAATCTGATCTTCATCAAGTCATCAAGGCAAACGATGATCTGACTCCTGAGCACCATCGGTTTTTCTTGTACCAACTTCTTCGGGGTCTGAAATATATTCATGCCGGTTAGTTTCTGCGTTCCTCTTCCCAGTTTGTTCTCGTTTCTTCCTTGCAGTTTGTAAGATTATTGAATAAACAATGTCCTTCTTGCAGCTAATGTATTTCATCGGGATTTGAAACCGAAGAACATTCTTGCTAATGCTGATTGCAAATTGAAGATCTGTGATTTTGGGCTTGCTCGAGTATCTTTCAATGACGCCCCATCAACTATTTTCTGGACTGTGAGTCATCAAACTCGAAGAATCTGATAGAAAGTCTCCTCCTTTGGTTTTCTTTAATTTGGATAAGGTAAGGTTCTCTTTCCGGGGTTTGCTGGCTTAAAACATTTCATCCTTCTGTGTAGGATTATGTAGCCACTCGATGGTATCGTGCCCCGGAACTCTGTGGTTCTTTTTTCTCCAAAGTAAGCTCATCATTCTCAACAGACTCGATTTACTATTTTTTCCTCTGTTTCAGATTTTCCTTTCCATCTGAATTTGACATGTATGTATAACTTGCATTGACTTGTCTCTGTATTCTGTGTTCTGTGGTGTTTCCCTTGGTTCTTCAATTCTACATTTTCATATCATTCATCAATTACTCTTACCCTTCTTCCTTTCTCCGTGTTTTTTATCTAACAATGTGCTTACGTTCCACCAGAACTTTGCCTCAACATCCACCAAGATTGAAACTTTAAGCTTATTTTATATGTCCAGAGCTTTGTCTTCCATGTACCCTTTCTTATGTAAGAGCTCTGTTCTGGATATGTATATACATTTGTAGCTTCTCTCTAGGTTAGTGAGATTTCATACCAGTATTTGGTTACCGTTTCTTAGAATAGTATGCGTGTTTCTCGAGGTCAGTGATTGTGTGGTCGTATGTGTCAGGATATTCGGTGTGGTATGCTCTAGTTCGGTCCGTCCCCGGGTTGGAACTTAAGTTTCTGTTTCTTATGCTAATTCTTCTTTCATCAAATCCAGTATACCCCTGCAATCGATATCTGGAGCGTAGGTTGCATATTTGCGGAAATGCTTCTGGGTAAGCCCTTGTTTCCCGGGAAAAATGTGGTTCACCAGTTGGATATTATGACCGATTTCCTCGGCACTCCGTCACCTGAAGCCATAGCAAAGGTTGGTCCCTTAAGCAGATAAATCTTTCAATCTTTTTAACATCAGATATACTGACACTATCCAAGATGTTCATTGTAATTTTGACAAGTACTGCATTATTGGTGAGTAAGTGAAAGTAATTTTCGTTTTGTAACGAGTATGCTCTATCTTGAACTGGCAGATTAGGAACGAGAAAGCGAGGAGATATATTAGCAACATGAGAAAAAAGCAGCCGGTCCCATTCTCGCGTAAGTTTCCTAAAGCCGACCCCATGGCCCTCGACTTGCTATCGCGCCTTCTGGCCTTTGATCCAAAAGATCGTCCAACCGCAGCAGAAGTAAGATGAATCGAATTTTTACTTTATTTTCCATGTTTCTGAAGCACAAGATCCAAAAATATTTTCACAAAATGAAGTTGAACCTGCACTTACCGCCCTTCTCTAACACGAGATAAATGAAAATCAGACAGGAAATTCACTTTCGTTCTTTCTTGATTTCCTCCGATGCCTAACAGGCACTAACTGATCCATACTTCAGCGGTCTGGCAAGCGTTGATCGTGAACCATCCACACAACCGATTTCAAAGCTCGAGTTCGAGTTTGAGAGAAAGAAGCTAACGAAAGATGATATCAGAGAGTTAATATACAGAGAGGTAACGACCCCTTTTCCCGTTTCTCTGTTTTGATCTCCTCTTCTTCATGGTTCTAAACTACTAACGGATTTACGTATATCTGAACAAAAAATGTAGATTTTGGAATACCATCCACAGATGTTGGAGGAATACCTTGAAGGCAGTGACCAGCTTAGTTTCATGTACCCGAGGTAGGGTTTCCGGCCCTTCTTTCGCTTTCAACAAGACCAGAATTTATTATTCAAATATCCGAATGTGATTCCTTAAGACCAAATTTTTCCGGCAAGTAGAAAACAAGATTATCCTATGCGGAAACCGATTCAACCTGATGGATTTTGTTTTCATCTGTTTCAACAGATGATCATGCTAGTGTTAGGGATGAGAATTGTTTCAATGATTATGCTAAAAATCGACTGAAGGGCACTACTACCTGTTCTTATTCTGATATTGATCATACCTGTAACTTAATGAATGCATGCTGCATTATACGTATTTGGTCCTTGCTTGTTGATCTTTCTTTTTTTCTTTCTAGAAACTATATATAGTTGATAACGTTTTCCTCGAGTGACATATATCTAGGCTCGTTCGGGTAAAATTTCTTTGTTAATGCAGTGGGGTTGATCGGTTCAAGAGGCAATTTGCTCATCTCGAGGAAAACCCGGGTAGGATAGGAAGGGATAACGCACTTCATAGACATCATGCTTCATTACCGAGGTATGTACTTCTGAATATCTCTGTCCAAAAATGTTCTTGGAATTATCTCGCCAGTGTGATCTACTACGTATTTACGTATGCATTTTCCGTTGCATCGTTGTTTTATCCACAGAGAGCGGGTTAACAAGAACGAGACGGTTGAGGAGGGCAAAGAACTCGATAGAAGAACACCACCTGGCATGGCTGTTGAGGAGAGCAAAGAACTCGATAGAAGACCCCCCCCTGCCATGGCTTCAACCCTCGACAGCCCAAAACCCGAGGGTTCAGACAATGGAGGAGGGTACAGTGCTCGTAACCTGATGAAGAGCGCTAGTATCAGCGGCTCCAAATGTATCGGTACACAATCCAAAACCAACATAGAGGTAAATCCAAGAATCCTTCAAAGTTCAAACATAAAGCCGCCTCCTTTCATCAGTTGAGCCCAAGATTGGAGTTTGATGAATCAATATGTTATCTTTTGCCTTTCGCATCGATACCCGTTGTGCATTTTCCTATCGTTTCTCTGGATTTCTCGAGGATTGCACGATAACGAGGAACGATCCATGGAAAAGATTAATGTTTTGATCGAATTTATTTCTTCTTCTGTTGAATCACAGAAACCGAGTTTGATGTAGTCAATGTTCTTACACCTGAGGATTGACGCTCTTTGTTTATATCTCGCAGGACGCCATAGCTGAAGAACAAGATGAAGCAGTCCCTTGAAGTTGAATCTCTGATCTTTTTTTCTTACCATTTCTGTATGTTTTTACAGAGTTATAGAAGTGAACTTTTCGTTTTCGCCCTCGTTTACCTGGTTTGGTGATCTCGGGCTCGGGATCGAGGCGAGTGGGTTTAATTGTTGTCTCAAATAATTTGGGGGTGAAAGTGTGAAAACAAAATAAAACTAGGGTTCTCATGTAATTTTGTTATTTGACTGATGAGAGATGACTGGTACAATTACAAGAGGCGCGACAATTTTTAGCACGTGTATTTACTTACAAATTCGATTTTTGTATATCACTACATTCAGACATTATATATATATACACATATATTTATGAGATTACGTACAATTGCAATTGGCTCGTATAAATAAAACCAAATTCAAGAAGATTCGATTCAGCTACTACCCTTTTGGCTTTGGGTGAAGATTATGAATTATGTGTTAATAATTCTCCTTTACAACTAAACTTCCACGTTATGTCCATTCGGCATCGCTGAATATATTTTACAATTTAGGGGAAATTAGAGTTTAAAATAAAATCTAAATGATAATGTTTTTTTAATATTAAATAATGACATTTTATCCCACAATATAGTTCGGAATTTCTTTTTGTTCACAGAAAGGAGAAATGAACTGAATTTTATTTTCTTTTTTCGAGTAATAAGTAAATACTCAAGCCTCCCGGTCCATTATATATTTCATATTTGTCGGGTTGGAAATAATAATAAAAAAAAACATGTGAAAAATTCACGCACACCATGCAAATTAAATTTGAAATAAAATAAAATCTAATTGGATTCTACCGAAATCGAAGATTAGATGAACGGGACGAAGCTAATGCTGTGTTAGTTGGACTTGTGATGCATGCATGCGTGTATGTATATATGTATAATGTATGTATTCTTAGTTCTCATGCTCTTATATGATCTCTTCATTCAATTTTTTTACTTTATTTCAAGCTCCACGATTCCAGCTCAATTATAAAATAATGTGTATAATATATAGTACTATGGGAAAGAACATAATTAACGGTCTTAAAAAAATAAAGAAATTTAAATAGTTGATTAGTTGAAAACATTACTCTTTTAATGTAAAAGTGGATTATAATTGGACTGACGAAGCTACCGACCCCCCGAAAAGAAAACAAAAAAGACAATAATTACGAGGAAGAAGATATCAACTTGGACCGACTTTTAGACTCCAATAAATTTTATACTCAAGTAAAATATATCATTAAATTTGGAACATTTTTCCAAAAGTGAGATATCCAATTAAAATACAAAATTGGATTTTGATTTGACAAAAATACAGAAATCGAACGCCAAACAGCAAAACACCAAGATGATTATTTATATATATATAATATTGCTCCAAATCCATATCGTAATATAGATACACAGAAATTTTGAATTGGTGTCTTAGATGTCTTAGGTATACATATCTAAAATATGTACAAATAAATAAAAATATAATGTATATTTGTTTAAAATATAAGAATAATCGAGTGTGGTTAAATTTTCTGTGTACGTTTTATTGTTTGTTTCAACATATTCAGATTAAAAAAACATTTTGGAGTCGAAGAGTTTTATTTAAAGTTTTCTTTTACAATAGAGCCCTAATAATTTTCAGTTACGGCGTTCGCAAAAATAAACTCTATTTTAATGATTTTCCCTTTTTTTTTTCAAAGTCTCCGTTATTTTACTTTCCTGAAATGTGAGATTATTTCTTGTAGTTATTCATACTAGTTTTTTTTTTACTTTATATTTCCATCACATTTTAAAATAATAAGAATTCTACAAAAAAAAAATATTTATCAATTTACTTTATACCGGGGAGGACTACACTTTTTTAATAAACATATTTCAATTAATTCGATTTCTTATTTTTATAAATGTTTTCCGCGTGCTATTAAGAAAATAAATAAACTCCACTCTCAAAAAAAAAAAAAAAAAAACCGAATCCATATTAAGAAAGAATGAGAAAATATTTACATATATCAACAAGTGGTCAGTGGACCATACGTCCTATCTGTCTTTTCTCATTTTTATGATTTAACATTAATATCATCGTATTCAAAACTTAATTCGCTTCTTACATCTTTAATAAGAACACATCCCATGACATCTTACACATACGTATATATATATATATACATATATATACACACATATGTATATGAGGAGGGCATCGTGCAAACGTCATATCGATTTAGTTTGAATGATTGCTTTATTATCCCTCTTCCACCAACCCACTCTCTCACTCCATGGATTCAAAGCTACCAATCATATTCATATATATATATTCAAGGAATAGTATATGGTTCTTTCCATTTTATTTCTCAGTTTAAATTCTCTCTTTCTATTAAATCTTACTTTGTAACTTTTACGATCAAAGGAGAAAACCTACATATGAGTTGGCAACCAAACATGGTTAATATATCGTGAGATTGGGGTTCGACTTCTTATCGACTCACTTGTCATCTGTTAAATACGGTTGATTTATCTCCTTCGTGTGTGTGTCGCAGATTCGTGCATTTGGACGTGGAATTTACTCGGTCAATGCGTTCGAAAGATAACAGATGAGATTCCCAACATTACCAAAAAAAACTTTTACATTTATATCAAATTTATATACGAAATAATTTTTTTATTTATTTAATAATAAGAAATCTAAAATGAGATGTAATTTTAATTTATCCAAAAAAATGTTGAATCTAGTTGAGCAAATGACAAGATAAGAGATTAACTTAAGAGTTATTTTACACGTGCTTGTCATCGATAAGCATGCACTTCGTTAGTAACAAAACGAGCGAATGGTAAAACTCAACACACAACAAGAGTCAACCATGGTCCATTATAATTTCATTTTATATATAGATTTATACATAAATAACATGTGGGGTGACTTTTAATATTTCATTCAAAAAAATCCATGGTGGATATAAATTATCTGGACGGCAAATCCAATGAAAGTTGTCTGATCAAGTTCAAATATTTATCCACCGTTCACAATATATATTTATATATATCCAACTTTTCGTGTATTAGACAGAGTTTTGAATTCACATGTGTAGAGACTGTAGAATACAATTTATTTTATGAAATATTTTTTTTGGTGATATATGAAACTTAAAGCCGATATAATAAAAAAATTTATATATTTATTTTTTAAAGGATTTTAATGGTATCTGAGTTAATTAGTGTATTAATTTTACACGCTTTCAATATACCCTTTCTATACTCCAAAACTAATAAATGGTTTATGTAAAATAATTTGAAATCGATTAAATTACCTCATTGGAATTTAAATATAAATTCTTCAGAATAAACTATCTATCTTAAAACTCACCTTACTCGTGTATAATATATATGTACAAACATTTTTTTTTCTTTTGCCTCAATATATACAAACTTTTAATGCAAAAAAAAAAAACAAATATCCATTAGAATTTCAATATATATACAAACTTTAAAGAATAGAAAAATACGTACATATGATTAATATATCTTTATTTTTCTCTATTTTTTAATTATTTGTGCTTTCAATTTTCATCAGTATTTTTTACAATTGTACGATTTTTTTTTCTTCCATACATCTTAGTTAAGATTATTCTTGTGGGAATTTGATGTAATTGGAAACGTTACCAACAATTATCTAATTATTTTCAATTTTATAATTGCCCTACAAAGTTAATTGAATCCCCTTTTACATTTGTTATGAAATATTATAAGCTATTATTGCCAATTTGCCACAATATTTCCAACTCATTCAAAGTTGGTGTTTTGGACCGTACCATTTATTAGCAATGCAGAAATAAAAAAAATTATCCTTTACATTTGTTTAATGAATCCACCTTTGGACTCTCAAATGTGGTATATAATTCGACATTTTCATCCTTTAAAAAGATGCAAATAATTAAATCTTTTAAAAGATGCAAATAATTAAATCATTTGGACCAATCAGAGAATTTTTCGTAATTCAAATTAAAAAAACAAAGATCATTGTTGGTCCTTCGTGACAGTCTCACCTACCGATCCACCGTCACAATAAAAATCCAGCCTTTATACAAAACTTCCCACTTGCAATTTCTAAGTAAATTAGAGATGGCAAAAATACGCTTAATGTACAATAATTATTTAATTAAAAAACACATTTCAAAATAAAGGAATGAACGGGCAGTAAGAATATTATTCTAGAATTTCTTTGATTTTGATTAAATTATTTTTTTATTTTAAAAAACTTATCCACGCCGTTTTTGTTAAAAACTTTTTTTTAATTTTATTTTCCATTTAGATTTGGTTCAAATTCGTTTATTAGATTTTAAAAAATTATGTACAAATGATTTTGATTGGATGAAATTTAAAAATGGTAAAACACAGTACGATTCGACGCAATTCAATATTATATAATACGATCCAAAATGGGCATCCTTAATTGATTTTACAATTGTCTCTTGGGTTATTTAGCAAACTTTAGAAAGTTGAGGCACTATAATATGAATTTTATAAATTAAAAAAAAAAAGGAATGTTTGGTGGAAAGGAATCTTAGTGCGGTCTATATAAGAGGGAATATGTTACATGAACAACCAACCATATCAATCTCAAAAAACAAAATAAAATAAAAAAAGCTTAGAAAATAATCAAATAACTTGCGATCGGTTATATCTAAGATGGAGAATTTCATAATCCTCGTAATCTCATCGTTTATGCTTATAACTTCAATTACTTATCCTTCTCCTTCGTATGCCATAACTACACGTCGATTTCACTTCAACGTAAGTTTACATCATTCTTGTATATACTATAGTTCAAAACTATATCGTTTGTACGTTTTTTATTTGAATTTCCAACATATTCTTTTTTTTTCGCGTTTTCGTGAATTTTTTTAGATCGAATGGAAGAAAGTGACTCGGTTGTGCCACACGAAACAGCTCTTGACGGTGAACGGCCAGTTTCCGGGGCCGATGGTGGCCGTCCGTGAAGGCGACACCGTCGAGATCAAAGTTACGAATCGTATATCCCACAACACAACTATTCATTGGTAAGTACTCACAGTTTTAGAGACAGGTTTCCGATTTAGTTTGGTGAACCGGTTCAATTTGACAAATGTTTGGTGCTAAATGTGGTTAATAGGCACGGTTTAAGGCAATACCGAACCGGTTGGGCAGATGGGCCGGCTTACATCACACAATGTCCCATAAGACCGGACCGGTCGTACACGTACCGGTTCGTGGTAGAGGACCAAAGAGGAACACTCCTATGGCATGCTCACCATTCCTGGCAGAGGGCATCCGTCTATGGTGCCTTCGTCATCTATCCTCGACGGCCCTATCCGTTCCCTTACCCCGTTCGATCCGAAATCCCTATTCTACTAGGTACAAAATAAATAAATAAGTAAATATATATATATTTTTTAATTCGGATTATGTATATACATAGATGCATACACAAATATGTGTGATGATAAAAATGTGTATAGGGGAATGGTGGAAGAGGGATGTGGATGACGTGGAGAAGGAGATGATGAAGAGTGGAGCTGGTCCTATGGTCTCCGACGCCTACACCATCAACGGCCTTCCCGGCCCTCTCTACCCTTGTTCCTCCAAAGGTCCGGCTTCCCTCGTACCGGTCAGGTTTATTCCCATCCGGTTTAATCCGGTTTTGTTGTTTCTCACCACCCACATTTTGGTGCAGATACGTTCACTCGGGAAGTGGAAGCCGGAAAAACCTACGTCCTCCGTATAGTCAACGCGGCTCTGAACAACGAGCTCTTCTTCGCCGTCTCGAACCACACCCTCATCGTCGTCGAAGTCGATGCGGTTTACACTAAACCGTTCCAAACCGGTTCCATCATGATCGCCCCCGGCCAAACCACCATCGTCCTCCTCCGCACCCTCCATTTCTCCGGCGACTCCTTCCCCATCGCCGTCGCTCCCTACGTCACCTCCGTCTTCCCCTTCAACAACTCCACCGCCCTCGGCTTCCTACGCTACAAGGGCAAACCCTCCTCGCTCGTCCCCTCACGCGCCGCCGAGGTGCGCGTGCCTTCGTCGCTTCCCGGGATGCTGGACACGGAGTTCGTGACGAGATTTTCCGACAGCGTCAGGAGCCTGGCGACGGAGGAGTACCCGTGTCGGGTTCCGTCAGAGATCGACAAGCGAGTGATCACCATGATCAGTCTGAATCTACAGGATTGTCCGGCGAATCGAACCTGCGAAGGATACGCGGGGAAAAGATTCTTCGCATCCATGAACAACATCTCGTTCGTCCGCCCACCGGTCTCGATCCTGGAGAGCTACTATAAGAATCGGACAAAGGAGGTGTTCGACCTAGATTTCCCCGACAAACCCAGGAAGAGATTCGATTACACTGGGGTCAATCCCTTGTCGGAGAACATGAACACTGAGTTCGGAACGAAGCTGTTCGAGGTCGAATTCGGAGCGAGATTGGAGATCGTATTTCAAGGGACGAGCTTTCTGAACACGGAGAATCATCCGATTCACGTCCACGGGCACAATTTCTTCGTTGTGGGATCTGGGTTCGGAAATTTCGATCGGAAGAAGGATCCGGAGAGGTACAACCTCGTGGATCCGCCGGAGAGAAACACGGTGGCGGTTCCGACAGGTGGGTGGACAGCGATTCGGATCAACGCCGACAATCCAGGGGTTTGGTTCATCCACTGTCACCTCGAGGAACACACTTCTTGGGGTTTGGCGATGGGTTTTATCGTCAAAGATGGATCTTTGCCTTCGCAGAAATTGCTTCCTCCTCCTCGCGATCTTCCTCAGTGTTGAAATCTTCGATTTTGGTTTCCAGAGTTTATGATTTTCTTTTCTTTTCCCCTTCCAAGAAAAATCTCAGTTTTGGCGGTGAATTTGTACTCATGGAAACGGTTTCCAGATCGATTAAAGATGGATATTTATGTTTATCACTATAAACCCTGATTTAAAGTAATTGTACAAATTCAAAATTAAACATTAATTATATTTGTGATAATAATCTGACACGTGTAAGGCCGCGATCCTCGTAACTGACGGCGAGAATCTTGCCACATGGCACTGAAAGTGAAGAGGATCGTGGGTGTCCTTAGACGAAAAGACGACACGTGTCTACGCTCCACCTCACAAAGCCCCATGCATTTGCTTATTATAGGTTTCGATAATCAGACCAAAGTTTTTTTAGCCTTTTCCTTCTGTTTTCTTTCCCAATCATATCAAGACAAAGAATGTATCCAAAAGCACTGTATAAAAATGTATATATATATATATATATATATTATCGAAGGTATTAATATCGTCTTACTAAATATATTTTAAAAAAATGCACTGACTAACTGAGGAATATATACATCCAATATTTGTAATTTGTGACGTCATCACCGGTGACATAATCAAATCTTATCGAAAGAATTTTTTTCATTCAGTTTGTATATATGTATGCACCATTTAAAGATTATTAATCGACTTTGGTGAAAAAAAATATTTGAAGTATAATTTGATTTGTGATAGAAAGATTCTCTATCATAGTATAAATATAAAAAAATAACCCCGATTTTGCATACGTGTCATAAATATTATTTAGATCGATTACTAATTGGACATTATTAAAATTACTCAATTTTCCCTTGCTATATAAACCTTTGACCTGGTTCTTCATCCAAAGATCGACATGCACAAGCCAACATCTCTTTAAACCAAAGAATCTCTCTCTCTCTTCTCTCTCTCTCTCTCTCTCTCTCTCTCTCGATCTCTCGATCTCTCGATCTCGATGGCAGCTTCGGTGGATCCTCTGGTTGTGGGGAGAGTGATAGGAGACGTGGTGGATATGTTCGTGCCGACGGCGAACATGTCTGTCTACTACGGCCCGGCTGCGACATCAAACCCCCCGCCGCCGCAAATCCTCCCACGGTCACCATCTCCGGCCACCCCGACGAGCTCTACACTTTGGTACCGTATATACTATATACACACACACACATACATATCTAAATGATCTCATGCATATACACGCCTGTATACACACATGTACTACCTACATGCACCGGATACATGTGTGCAACCGTTATGTACATGTATATGATGGCATCACTCTTTTTAATGGTCTTCAATTCATCATGATACCCATACATTCATACACACGCACATCGGTGCATCATGCCTACATATATGCACCACATACATGTGTGTATACATTACTGTTGTTCAAGCACGAGACTGCATGCGAATAGATAGATACATACACACATATATGATATATATAACAATGATTTTTGTGGCTTACATGTCTATATCTTATTGGTATTGATGCATGCAAAGGTGATGACGGACCCGGACGCGCCTAGCCCGAGCGAACCAAGCATGAGAGAATGGGTCCATTGGTGAGGAGTGTGACACATGCAGTACAATATACCCAACCATATATATATATATATATATATATATATATATATATATATATATATATATGTATATGTGTGTGTG